GGGTCACACATCCGCCCCTATGACCATGCATCCTCCATAGGGTCACATGTCCCCCTCTATGGCCATATAACCTCCATAGGGTCACAAATCCCCCCCTATGGCCATATAGCCTCTATAGGGTCACACATCCCCTCCTATGACCATATAACCTCTATAGGGTCACACGTCCCCCCCTATGGCCATATAACCTCTATAGGGTCACACATCCCTCCAAGGGATTGTGCCCCCCTCTATGGGGCTGCCCATCTTCCATGGGGTCGTGCATTCCCCCATAGGCTTTTCCATCCTCCGTGGGGTTGTGCATCCCCTCTGCGTCACGCATTCCCCCCATCCTTGGCCTCATGCACGCCTCCCCCCACTCCTCCCACCCCATTTTCGCCCACCTCCTGCTGCTGGTGACCCCCCTGCCCCCTCCCCGGTGGGACACAGGCATCCAGAAGGGTCCCCGCTCCGACTTCGACATGGCCTACGAGCGCGGCCGCATCTCAGTGTCGCTGCAGGAGGACAGCAGCAGCCCCCTGGCTGCCTTCTCTCGGGTAGGACTGCGCCCCCAAGACCCCCCCTCCATCCCTTTCCACCCCCCGACTCCGACACTGGATCCGTCCCCTCGTCCTCGCAGTCCATCTCACACGAGCCCAAGGAACGCAAGTCGGTGACGGTGGAGGAGCAGCCGTCGGGCGTCTACAGGTACAGCTGCGAGGACGACCCAGCCGTGGCGGATTGTCCCTTCGAGCCTTACCAGGGTCGCCAAACCAGCTCCATCTTTGAGGCGGCCAAGCAAGAGTTGGTCAAACTCATGAAGGTGGAGGTGAGCTCACCGAGGGAGATCCTGGGGGCCTCGGGGTGCTTTGGGGTCACCTCGTGGTGCTCCCTTGTGGTGGTGGTCCCTGGGACTTTGTGGTGGTCCCCCGCGGCCTCTTGGTGGGTCTGTTGCCCCACGGTGGTCCCCAGTGTCTTGTGGGCCCTGTTGGGATGGCCTCTATGGCTTTTTCATGGTGTCCATCACCGTGTGGTGGCTCCATGTGGATTTTTTATGGTTCCCATCATCTCATCGTGGCTTCCTATGGCTTTTTCATGGCCCCCATCACTTCAAGGTGGCCCCAAATAGCTTTTCACGGCCCCCACCATCTCATGGTGGCCCCCTATGCCTTTTTCATGGCCCCTATCACCTCACAATGGCCCCACATGGATTTTTGGTGGTCCCAATCATCTCGTGGTGGCCCCATATGGATTTTTTATGGTTCTCATCATCTCACTGTGGCTTCCTATGGCTTTTTCATGGCTCCTATCACCTTGTGGTCGCCCCATGTGGCTTTTTCATGGTCCCCATCATCTCGTGGTGGCCCCCACATGGATTTTTTGTGGTCCCAATCACCTCAAGGTGGCCCCATATGGATTTTTTACGGTTCCCATCATCTCATCATAGCTTCCTATGGATTTTTCATGGCTCCTATCACCTTGTGGTGGCTCCTATAGCTTTTCCATGGCACCCATCACCTCATGGTGGCCCCCTATGCCTTTTTCATGGCCCCTAACACCTCACAATCTCCCCACATGGATTTTTTGTGGTCCCAATCATCTTGTTGTGGCCCTATGTGGATTTTTTACGGTTCCCAATCATCTCATTGTGGCTTCCTATGGCTTTTTCATGGCCCCCATCACCTTGTGGTGGCCCTCCATGGCTTTTTCATGGCCTCTTCATCTCATGGTGACCCCACATGGATTTTTTAATGGTTCCCATCATCTCATGGTGGCCCCCTATGGCTTTTTCGTGGCTCCTATCACCTCGTGGTGGCCCCATATGGATTTTTTATGGTTCCCATCATCTCATCGTATCTTCCTATGGCTTTTCCATGGCTCCTATCACCTTGTGGTGGCCCTCCATGGCTTTTTCATGGCCCCCATCACCTTTTGTGACACCCTTCTTTCTCCCAGGACCCTTCTCTTCTCAACAACCGCGTCTTGCTTCACCACGCCAAAGCTGGGACGGTTATTGCCCGTCAAGGGGACCAAGTAGGTCTGGGTTTTGGGGGAATGGCGCAGCGCCTTGCTCCCCTTGCCCCGTGTTTCCATGGGGCTCTGCTCCTCCTGCCTCTGCCCTGTGAGTCCTGGTTGATGGGGCGCTGTTCTGGCAGGACGTGAGCCTCCACTTTGTGCTGTGGGGCTGCCTGCACGTCTACCAGAGGATGATCGACAAGGCCGAGGACGTCTGCCTCTTCTTGACGCAGCCCGGGGAGATGGTGGGGCAGCTGGCCGTGCTCACCGGGGAGCCCCTCATCTTCACCATCAAGGCCAACCGCGACTGCACCTTCCTCAAGATCTCCAAGTCGGACTTCTACGAGTGAGTGCCGACGAAGAGCAGGGGGGGGGATTTGGGGCAGCGTTTTGCATCGATAGGGCGACGGGGCTCAGCGCCTACGGTGGCACTTGCTGGGGTCGCCGCCACGTCCCCCAGCTGCTGTCGGTCCGTAGGATCATGCGGGAGCAGCCCAGCGTGGTGCTGAGCGTCGCCCACACCGTGGTCACCCGCATGTCGCCCTTCGTGCGCCAAATGGACTTCGCCATCGATTGGATGGCGGTGGAAGCCGGCCGGGCTCTCTACAGGTGGGTGACCCACACTTGTGGCTGGACGAGGACCCAACCCCGGGGGGGCTGACGTCCCCTTCGGTGTCCCCAGGCAGGGTGACAAGTCAGACTGCACCTACATCGCGCTCAACGGGCGGCTCCGCTCCGTCATCCAGAAGGGCAGCGGCAAAAAGGAGCTGATTGGGGAATACGGCCGCGGGGATCTGATCGGCGTGGTGAGAGCCCTGCTGGGCCGGGGCTGGGACGCGGCGTCTTGGCGTTTCGTCTGATCTACGTGCCATCACCCCCAGGTGGAAGCGCTCACCCGGCAGCCCCGTGCCACCACGGTGCACGCAGTGCGGGACACGGAGCTGGCCAAGCTGCCCGAAGGCACCTTGAACAACATCAAGCGTCGGTACCCTCAGGTACAGCCAAAATCTTGCCCTGCTCTGGGAGAAAACTGGGTTGTGCTGGGAGTCGTGACTGCATCCCTGCAGTTGCTTGGGTTACTGGGATGGATCTCAACCCGAAACGGGGAAGGACTGAGCCCTGTAAAGCCGCGATGCTTCACTGACATCGAAATTTAGGATATTTTAGAGGTTGGAGAGATGCTGCAGCACAGCAGTGGCGTGTAGGTGACTGCAGTGTGAAGGTGGTAACGGTGTGGTGGTGATGGCAGCGGTGGCCGTGGGGTGGAGGTGATGATGGTTCTGCATCGTTGGTGGCAACGGCCGTGGTTTGGTGGTGTCCACGGCTCCATCCTGCTGCAGTCTGGAGACCAGCTGTGTTGGTGATGCTCGTCCCGGGGTCTGCACATCCTTCTTTGGGGAAGGAGCTCATCCGACATCCTGGCTCATGGCTCTGATGCTCGTTAAATCCATCTTAAAGAATTAAAGTAATGGTTAAGGCTGGTGGGGGAGAAAGATCAGCGCCCTTCGGGGATGTTCTCTGAGATCCCCGAGGAGCTGTGGGAGTCGTGTCAGCACCACGGAGCGAGACCAGAAGGGCATCCCATGTGCGTTTTTGGGTGCTGTCATGTCTCTGGCTCAGCGACCTGTCCTGATGGCTCTCCCACAGGTTGTCACCCGTCTCATCCACCTCCTGAGCCAAAAGATCTTGGGAAACCTCCAGCAGCTCCGCGGCCCCTTCGCAGGTGGGTCCCCAAGGGGACAACGAGGACAAGGTGACGAGGGGCTGCCCTTCTGTGAGGCACCACACCACACCTCTGAGGCATCTTCTCTTCTTGCAGGCTCTGGTTTGGGCATGGCCTCCAGCTCGGAGCCCACCAACCCCACCAGCAACCTGTCAACGGTGGCGGTGCTGCCGGTGTGTGACGACGTGCCCACGGCTGCCTTCACCTTGGAGCTCAAGCACGCACTGAATGCCATCGGTGAGTGATGGCGTGGCGGTGACTGCGGCCATCATGAGGTGAGGGTGACCGCGGTGTGGTGGTGACCGCAGCCTCACCGCTCAGTGGTGGCCGTGGAGTAGAGGTGGCCGTGGTTCTGTGTCACGATGGTGACCATGGCACAGCTGTGACCACAGCCCCGTGAGATGCCAGTGGTCGTGGCTCGTGGTGACTGGAAGCCCAAGGCATTGCGGTGGCCATGCAATAGTGGCAACAGTGGCGAGGGGAATCCTCGTGGCGCGGCGGTGACCACGCAGTTATGGTGGTGATGGCTACCAGGTGGCTCCGTGGTGGCCATGTGATGGTGTTGACAGTGGCTTGGTGGTGACTGGAGCGCCACAGCATGCTTGGTGGCCACACAACAGTGCTGACCATGGCTTGGTGTTGTCTGAAGCCCCACGGCATGCTTGGTGGCCACAGACGATGGCGACCATGTCAAGGTGGTGCCCAGAGCCTTATAGCGTTGTGGCGGCCACACAAAGAATGACAACTGTGGTTTGGTGGTGACCACAGCCACGTGATGCTGTGGTTGATGACATCCCCACCTCCCCCAGGTCCCACGCTGGTCCTCACCAGCGACATCATCCGTGCCCGACTCGGCTCCTCGGCACTGGACAGGTAACTGTCAGCAGGAGGGGCATCACCGGTGCCCCAGCGCCGTGCCATCGTTCTCCTCCATCCCGTTAGCATCCACGAGTATCGTCTGTCAGGCTGGCTGGCCCAGCAGGAGGACATCCATCGCATCGTGCTCTACCAGACTGACTGCACTCTGACGCCGTGGACCGTGCGCTGCATCCGGCAGGCAGACTGCATCCTCATCGTCGGGCTGGGGGACCAGGAGCCGGCGCTGGGAGAGGTGAGGGATGTGCGGGGAGGTGGACGTGGCAGGGGCAGCTCAGCTTCAAACGGAGCGGACGTGACGTGGACAACGCGGTGCTGCGTGGGTAACGAGGATGGGCGGCCCAACAGCAAACGAGTGGACGTGGGCTGGCAGCACGGTGACAAACGGGGTGGACGTGATGTGGAAAACAATGATAAAGGGGGTGGATATGGTAGGAACAAGCCAGTGACAAATGGGGTGGATGTGATGTGGAACCCAATGCCAAATGGGTGGACGTGGCAGGAACAACCCAATGATAAATGGGGTGGACACGATGTGGAACCCAATGCCAAATGGGGTTGACATGGTAGGAACAACCTAGTGCCAAATGGGTGGACATGGTGTGGCAACGAAATTCCAGATGGGTGGACATGGATGGAAAAACCCAATGCCAAATGGGGTGGACATGATGTGGAACCCAATGCCAAATGGGTGGACGTGGCAGGAACAACCCAGTGACAAACGGGGTGGACGTGGTGTGGAACCCAGTGATAAATGGGGTGGATATGGCATGGAAAAGCCAATGATAAATGGGGTGGACATGGCATGAAAACCCAACTCCAAATGGGTGGAATTGGTAGAAACAACCCAGTGCCAAATGGGATGGACATGGCAGGAACAACCCAATGCCAAATGGAGTGGACATAATGGGGCAACCCAATGCCAAATGGGTGGACATGGTAGGAACAACCCAATGCCAAATGGAGTGGACATAATGGGGCAACCCAATGCCAAATGGGATGGACATGGCAGGAACAACTTAGTGACAAATGGGGTGGATATAATGGGGCAACCTGGTGCCAAATGGGTGGACATGGATGGAAAACCCAGTGCCAAATGGGTGGACATGGCAGGAACAACACAATGGGAAATGGGGTGGACACGATGTGGAACCCAGTGCCAAATGGGTGGACATGGTAGGAACAACCCAATGATAAATGGGGTGGACATGGATGGGGCAACCTGGTGCCACATGGGATGGACATAATGGGGCAACCCAACTCCAAATGGGTGGACATGGTAGGAACGACCCAATGATAAATGGGGTGGACATGATGGGGCAACCCGGTGCCAAATGAGACGGACATGGCACGGACAACCCAATTCCAAAGGGGTGGGCATGGCAGGAACAACCCAGTGCCCAATGGTGGCCATGGCACAGACAACCCAATGCAGAACGGGGCAGACGTGACGTGCTCAACCCACGACCAAGCTGCTGGTGTTTTCCACAGCTGGAGCAGATGCTGGAGAACACAGCGGTGCGTGCATTGAAGCAGTTGGTCCTCCTGCACCGTGAGGACGGTCCCAGCCCATCGCGCACCGTTGAGTGGCTCAACATGCGGAGCTGGTGCTCGGGCCACCTGCACATCAAGTGTCCGCGCCGCGTCTTCTCCCGACGCAGCCCCGCCAAGCTGGTAGGTGCCACCGTGTCCCCAACCCCAGCGTCCCTGTGCCTCTGCTGCCATCATCACCGCTTGTTTTCCATCCCCAAGCGAGAGATGTACGAGAAGGTGTTCGCCAAGAGCGCCGATCGGCACAGCGACTTCTCCCGCCTGGCGCGGGGGCTCACCGGGAACACCATCGCCCTCGTGCTGGGTGGTGGAGGAGCCAGGTGGGTGCATCGTATGGCGGGATGGGGGAGCCAGGGGTTGGCTGAAGAAAGATGGGGAGCTGTTGGAGAAGGGTTGGAGGAGCCACGAAGATGATCAGGGGCTGCAGCAGCTCCCTGTGAGGACAGGCTGAGGGAGCTGGGCTGGAGGGGGAGGAAGAGGAGGAGGAGGAAGGAGGAGGAATAGAAGGAGGCAGAGGGAGAGGAAGAGGGAAGAAGTTGAGGAAGGGGAGAAAGAAGGAGGGAGAGGAGGAAAGAGAAGAAAGAGAGGAGCAGGAGAGGAGGGAGAAGAAAGGAGAAAGAGTGCCAGGTGGCGAAGAGTCCCAGGTGAAGAGTCCCAGCTCCCCCCACGAGCATGGGCTCGGTCAGCACGGAGAAGAGGAGCTGGGGGCGAGCGCATTGCAGCCTGCAGCGCCCGAAGGGAGCCTGCAGCCAGGAGGGGAGTCAGCTCTTGGCAAGGGGAGACGGCAGCAGGACGGGGAACGGCTGGGAGCTGAGGGAGGGCAGCTGGAGGCTGGAAGTGCTGTGCTGTGAGAGCGGGGAGGGGCTGAACAGAGGGGCTGCGATGCCCCGTCCGTCCCTGGAGGCGTTCGGGGCCGTTGAAGGGGCCCTGGGCAGCCTGGGCTGCTGTGAAATGCAGAGGTCAGTGGCCCTGCATTGGCGGGGGGTTGGAGCTCCGTCATCCTTCATCCTCCCGACCCAAACGACTCCGACTGACCCGTGACGCTGCTGACCCCTCTCATCCCTCTTCCTTTCTCCCGCCCCATCTCCTCTCCTCCCCCAGGGGCTGCTCCCACATCGGGGTGATCAAGGCGATGGAGGAGGCGGGGATCCCCATCGACATGGTTGGTGGCACCTCCATCGGCTCCTTCATCGGCGCGCTGTACGCCGAGGAGCGCAGCGCTGTGCGCACCAAGCAGCGGGCGCGGGAGTGGGCCAAGGTGGGTGCCGTCCCCAGCTGCCGCTGCTTCTTTTTCTTCCTCTTCTTCCTCTTTTCCTTCTCCCTTCTCTCAATTTTCTTCCTTTCTTCTTCCTTCTGCTCCTCCTCTCCTTCCTCCTCCTCTTTCTCCTTCATCTTCTCCTTCCTCCTCCTCGTCCTCCACTTTTCTCCACTTTCTCCTCCTCCTCTCTCCTCTTTCCTCCTCTCCCTCCTTCTTTCTCCCCTTCCTCAACTTCTTCCCTCTTCCTCTCCCTCTGCCTCCTTCTAATCCTCCTCCTTCCTCCTCCTCCTCTTCCTCCCCTTCCAGCGCATGAATTCGGTGTTTGCGACCGTCCTGGACCTCACCTACCCCATCACCTCCATGTTTTCGGGCTCAGCCTTCAACGCCAGCATCAACAAAGTTTTCCAGGACAAGCAGATCGAGGTGGGCTGCACCCCAATCTGTGGTCCCAGCTGTCTCCCCCTCACCCCCACCAACACTGTCCTCACGGTGTCGCCCACCTCGTCTCGTCCCCGCAGGACCTTTGGCTTCCCTACTTCAACGTCACGACAGACATCACAGCCTCAGCCATGCGGGTGCACACAGATGGTAAGAGCCACCCCAGGGAACTGGGGACGCTCTACGGCACCAATTTACCTCTTCACTGGCACCCCAAAAATGTCACTGTCACCTGGACGGAGGTGGTGTCCCAGTGCTGGTTGACCAGCAAAGCTCGGCTCCACACCAGAGCCTGGCAATTCCCCATGTCCCACGTGGGGACGGGGACACAACTGGGGATGCAGAGCTGCAACCCACCCCAGCACGCGCATCTCCTAACACCTCTGCTCCACACTAACCCCAGTAACCCTCACTCACAGCATGGGGGTGTGGGGCTGAACTGCCGGGGGCACAGCGGGAAGGTGGTGGGGAAAATAAACGTGGTGGCGGTGAAGGGGAGGGAAGGATGGGGACAATATGGTGACGGTGGTGGAGATGTCACGATGTTGACGGGGTGCTGCCGGTGGGGGCATCGCGATGATGGCAGTTTGGTGGTGGCAGTGCGGTGGCGCTGGGTGCGTCGGGACGGCGCGGGGCCACGAGCTGACGGTGGCGGGGGCTGCGCGGTGATGGGGACGATGCGGTGGCTGCCCCTCATCCTTGCCTGGTTCCAGAGCTCACCTGGGACATTGAGCCGTCCACGGGGCCAACGCGGTGGCTTGTAGGCAGCCTGGCTTTCTCTCCCCAGCCTCTCCTCTAACGCCATCTAATCCCCGCTCACCGCCCCTAACCCTTCCCGAGCCCTGACCCTTCCCCAGCCCGGCGTGAACAGAGCGCTTTACCCCCTCCACGCCTCTCTCCTGATGCTGAAATGGCACCAGCAGCCCCGGGGCTCTGTGCCCATCCCGTCCCCCCCTGTGCCCGTGACCGTTCCTCTCCCTCTGGCAGGCAGCCTTTGGCGTTACATCCGAGCCAGTGCCTCCTATCCCCCCTACCTGCCTCCGCTCTGCGACCCCAAGGACAGCCACTGCCTCGTGGACGGCTGCTATGTTAACAATGTCCCAGGTCAGCATCTCCCCTCTCCCGGGGCCACCGGCTCCCCTCCAGAAACGCTCCTTTTTTTTTTGTTTTGTTTTCTTTTCTTTTCTTTTGTTTTGTTTCCTCAAGAAAAACAAAACCAACCAACCAACAACAACAAAAAAAATCACGCGTATCCCATTGCAGTTGGAGCTTTGCAAACGGCCCCTCTGCCACCCATGGGTGCCCACCAGACCCCCGTGGGGTGCAGACATCCCTGGGCAAGGGCAGGGGTGAGGGGCAGCCCCCTGGGGGGCTCAGGCAGGCGCGGGGCGAGCCGTGCTCACTGCATTTGTTCCCCGCCGGCGCAGGCTCGCTCTGGCGGTACGTGCGAGCCAGCATGACCCTATCTGGGTACCTGCCACCCCTCTGCGACCCCAAGGACGGCAACTTGCTGATGGACGGGGGTTACATCAACAACCTGCCAGGCAAGTAGCATCCCACCGCCCTCACCGGCTCCGGTCCCGGTGCAGAGCAGTTGAGTTGGGGCCACGCGGCCACCAGGGGATGGGGCTTCAGTGCTCTTCGAGCTCCCATCGAGGCTGGATTTGGGCCGTCCAGCTCGGTTCTGAGTCGCCTGTTGGTTTTTTCAGTGCTGGCTGCCCTCCTGGGGCATCTTCTTCCTGTGCGAAAGGCGTCCGTCCGTGGTGACTGGGTCCAGCCCAAGCGGTGGGCAGCTGGGTTGGGGCCACGCGGCCACCACGGGATGGGGCTTCAATGCTCTTTGGGGCAACGCAGGCTGGATTTGGGCCGTCCCACCTAGTCCTGACTTGCCTGTTGGTGTCTTCAGTGTCGGGTGCCCTCTTGGGGGCGTCTTCATCCTCGCTCCCATGCAAATGGTGCCCATCCATCTTGCACTGGGTCTTGTCGGCCTCTGCTTCCAAGGATACCTTCATGTTTCTTGGCATACGGGACGCAGCCCTTCATCCTGCATCTCCTCTTAGCAATAGGCGTCCTCTCGTCGCCCTCCACGCACAAAAAACACCCCTCCATGTTGCACCATCTCTTGGTCTCCTTGGCACCGGGTGCTCTCCTGCACTTCCATCCAGCTTGCGTCCTCCTCTCCTGGTCTCCTTGGCACCGTGCGCCTTCCCCGGGCGTCTCCATCCTCCTGCATCATCCCTAGGTGTCCTCAGCACTCCCTGGGTGCCCTCTTGGGGCATCCGTGTCCTTCATATGACAAGACGTGGCCACCTATTTTCTGAACACCTCTTGATGTCTCCAGCACCAGATGCCCTTCGTGCTGTGTGTGGCATTTCCCAGCACCTCCTGGTGTCTTTGACACCACTTGTCCTCCCCGGGACGCCTCCATCCTTCACTTGCCACCTCTCTCTGTCCTGCATCATCTGCTGGGTGCCCTCCTGGGGCATCTTTGCTCTCCTTTACGTGCAGCCATCCTGAATCGTGTTTCTCGGTGTCTTTGGCACCTTCTGGAGCGTCTCCATCCTCCTTCACATGCAAGCCAGCTTCCTCCCCGCTGCATCACCCTCTCTCGATGTTCCCAGCTCCAAGTGTCCCCCAGGGCACCTCCATACTCCCCTTTCAACCCATCCCATCCACCTTGCATCATCTCCCGGACTCCTCAGCACCAGCTGTCCTCCTGGGGTTCCTCCACATTTACAGAATTGCCTGCATCCCTCCGTCCCCCCTCCATGGGCATCGCTGCTCTGCTCCCCACCAGCCCTCAAACCCAACGCCTGTGGGGCATCGCTTGTCCCCCCGCTGGCCCCAGCATGACTTTGCCATCCGGCCCATGGCAGGGAATGGCCCTTTGCCCTGCTCCGTGCTCCTGCCAACCCGTCTCCCTCCTTCCCTGCAGCTGACATCGCTCGCAACATGGGTGCCAAGACGGTGATTGCCATCGACGTGGGCAGCCAGGACGAGACAGACCTGTGCAACTACGGGGACAGCCTGTCGGGATGGTGGCTGCTCTGGAAGCGCCTCAACCCTTGGGCTGAAAAAGTCAAGGTGAGGATTAAGGGTACATGAAGACAGCCGTGGGGGCAGAGCAGGGTGCTGAGCGCCCCGTCCTGGCAGGTGCCCGACATGGCGGAGATCCAGTCGCGCTTGGCGTACGTGTCGTGTGTGAGGCAGCTGGAGGTGGTGAAGTCCAGCTCGTACTGTGAGTACATCCGTCCCCCCATCGACCGCTTCAAGACGATGGATTTTGGCAAGTTCGATGAGATCTACGTGAGTCACAGAATCACAGAATCACAGAATTGTAGGGGTTGGAAGGGACCTCCAGAGATCATCGAGTCCAACCATCGACTCCATCGAGTCGGGGGCGGAGGAGGCAGGCGGGGTGGCTTTGGGACATTCAATGGGGCGGCGTGGGTTGGTGGGGTTCTTCAGCCATCGTTTGGGGTGTCCTGGTCGTTAACAGTGTGCCCCGGCCACCTCTTGAGCACCCAGGTCGTTACCTGTGTGTCCCATCATCAGGTTTCACCAACCAGCAATGAGTTGGGTGCCCCAAGCACCACTGACGGCGTTTTGGCCCGTCGGTTACGGTGCATGGCTCACTGGTTAATGGCCCCAGCCATTAACAAGGCACAGCAGGCCATCATTTGGGGCGTCCCGGCCGTTTTTGGTGTTCCCCAGCCCCTGGCTGGGATGTCTTAGCCTTCAGTTGGGTGCCCTAGCCATCATTTGTGTGCGCTGACCGTTCATGTGGTGACAGCTATTGCCTAGGCTTGTCCACACCATCATTTGCGATGCCCGAGCCGTCAGTGGCAGTGTCCTGCCCATCATTTGAGTCATCATTCGTGGTCCCCATGTCATCATTTAAGGTTCCCCGACCGCTATTTGGGTGCCCAGGCAAAAGTTGGGTGCCCTTTGCCATCGGTTGGAATGCCCTTGCCATGGGTTGGGATGCTCTGGCCATCAGCTGGGTACCTGGGCCATCCTTCGAGCCTCCCAAAGCCATCCCTCGTTTTACCCGAGCCACCAACGAGCCTTGGCCACACTCTCTCCCCACAGGATGTGGGTTACCAGCATGGCAAATTGGTCTTCGATGGCTGGAATCGGGGTGACATCATTGAGAAGATGGTGAAGGACCGGCGCTCGGCCGACTTCTATGAGAGCAAACGCATGGATGTGAGTCGGGTGGCAGCGGGGGCTGTGGGCAACAGGAGCTGCGTGGGGAACCTGCCCCAGGGCTCCCACCCCCCTTGGGCCACTCCTCTCCATCCCGTCCCCTCCTTGTCGCTTATCCTTCCTTGGTCCATCCTTCTGTCCCTGCTTCGCCCTCCCAGGGACATTCAGAACACCCGGCTCCCCCCAGAGATGCTCACTTGCCCTCCCAGACATCCAACCTTCTCACCTGAGATCCTCAAGATCACTCAGATTTCTGCTGGGCCATTCAAATTCCCCAGGTCCCCAGGGACACCCCAGTCCCTCGTTGGGTCACTGAAGGGATTTCCAAGTACAAGGGACACCCAAATCGCCCTTTTCTCCCCCTCGCCCCCCTTCCGCCCCATCATGTCCCCCCATCCTCACCCCTCTCCCATGGGGGGGGGTTTACATCTCACAGACCCCCCCTCTCCCCCCCATAGGTGCTCACCTACCCCAGTGCTGGTTTCACAGACCTGGCAGAGATCATCTCCCGCATTGAGCCCGCCAAGCCCTACCCGTCGGACGGACACGCGGACGGTGGGCGCCCATCTCGCAGGCTGGGGCTGGGGGGGGGGGGGGGGGGGGGGGGCTGCATTCAGGCCCTTAAACCCCCCCCTTTTTCCCTCCCTTCTGCTCCCGTTAGAGGAGTCTGACTACCTCACCGAGTACGAGGACGAGGGGCCGGAGCTGTCGCGGGGCGAGGAGGAGGCGTTCGCCCCGACGGAGTGGCCTGGAGCTGGAGTGACAGAGGCTGTGAGTGGCCCTGGATGCAGAGACCCTCCGGAATGGGGCTGACCCTGGGCTCGGGGCTCCTGATGGTGCCCTCACCCCACGCGTGGGGGGACGTGGGGCGAGTCCTGTCCCCAGGTTGTGGAGGATCCCTGAAATGGGGTGTCCTGGGGGTTCCCCATCCCGGTACCCCCATCCCAAAATCCCCATCCTGAGGTCCCCATCCCAAAATCTCCATCCCAAAACCCCCATCCCAAAATCCCCATCCCAATGTCCCCATCCTGATGTCCCCATCCCTATGTCCCCATTCCAGTATCCCCATCCCAAAACCCCCATCCTGATATCTGCATCCCAAAATCCCCATCCCAAAATCCCCATCCCGATGTCCCCATTCCAGTACCCCCATCCCAACGCTCCCATCCCAAAATCCCCATCCCAACGCCCATATCCCAATGTCCCCATCCCAAAACCCCCATCCTGAGGTCCCCATCCCAAAATCCCCATCCTGAAGTCCCCATCCTGATGCCCCCATCCCCAAACCCCCATCCCAACATCCCCATCCTGGTGTCCCCATCCCCACGTCCCTATCCAAGTGTCCCTGTCCCAGTCTCCCTGCACAAATGTCACCATCCCAGTGCCATCGTCCCGGTGTCCCCACCCCTGTGTCCCCATCCTGACATCCCAGTGTCCCCCTATCCTAATATCCGTGTCCTAACGTCCCCATCTTGGTATCCCTACTCCAGTGTACCCATCTTGCTGACCCCATCCTAATGTCCCTTCCTCAGTGTCCCCATCCCAGTGTCCCCATCATCCTGCTGTCCTTTCCCCACTATCCCCATTCTGGAGTCCCAATTCCAGTGCCCCATTCCAGTATCCCCATTCCAAAATCCCCATCCTGATGTCCCCATCCCAAAATCCCCATCCCAAAATGTCCATCCTCATGTCCCCATTCCAGTACCCCCATCCCAATGCTCCCATCCCAAAATCCCCATTCCAACGCCCATATCCCGATGTCCCCATCCTGAGGCCCCCATCCCAGTGCCCCCATCCTGATGTCTCCATCCCAAAATCCCCATCCCAATGTCCCCATTCCA